AATTATAAACTCGTAAACTCCCACTGTCGGCTGTCTGTCTATTGCTAATATAAAAAAAATGGTGTACAGGGGCAAGATACTACTAATTTGGAGTTGTAGAATATAATTTAAGTAATATAAATTAAAAATATGGTTAATTAAAAATTTCAGCTCGGCATTGTGACCATGTTACAATAAATTTAGTAATTAATTTAAAGATTACCTCAATGAAGTAGGGTTTAGTAAGAAGAATTGTTCCAAAGTAGTGAAATCCCACGCATTTTCCATTGATCCATTTCATGAATGTTACTACCTGAAAGACAGGAACAAAATAAATTTTAAAATTGTCTTAAATATTTGAGTATTTTGAATGGTAAATTGTTAATTACTTCTTTAATATTATATCTATTACGGGATCACGAAACCCTCTTATACACTTTGACATATACTTTACCTTCCACTTGTCATTAACGTCCAATTCGTAAATACTTAAAATATGTAACTCTTCTATAGAAGCTATCNAGTAAAAATTTCAGCTCGGCATTGTGACCATGTTACAATAAATTATTGCTGTTTAGTAATTAACTAAAGATTACCTCAATGAAGTAGGGTTTAGTAAGAAGAATTGTTCCAAAGTAATGAAATCCGACGCATTTTCCATTGATCCATTTCATGAATGTTACTATCTGAAAAACAGGAACAAAATAAATTTAAAAATTGTCTTAAATATTTGAGTAATTTGAATGGTAAATTGTTAATTAGTCCTTTAATATTATATCTATTATGGGATCACGAAACCCTCTTATACACTTTAACATATACTTTACCTTCCACTTGTCATTAACCTCCAATTCGTAAATACTTAAAATATGTAACTCTTCTGTAGAAGCTATCGCCTGAAATTAATAATTAAATCGATTATTTCATTTATAAAATAATTAACTTTACCTAATTAGTAAACTATTTTTAAAATTTCTTTAATAAATTCAATGATTTGCGGTAATCAAAAGTAAAAAATACGGTTGAGATAAAGCTAAAAATAATTTAAATGGCGATTTTTTGTTATAATACAGTTGTAAGTAGTTAGATAGCTGGAATTCAAGCGAGTTTTAATGAAACTTTTTGACGGATGTTTATATTTTAACGATAATACGTGCGTAGTATCAATTATTACTTTACTATCTTACTAATTCTCTACTGTATAGGAAATTTTATTCCTTCAAAATAATCACAAAACAATGACATAATAAAAGACATGAATTAATGATTAATACTATTTGTAAAAATTACAATAACACATTTAAAATATTAGCTTACCTTTACTCGAATATCAGCAACCGTCACACCAACAACTACAAATAACACTGTAATTATCAATGCCACAAATCCAAAGACGACTTTATCTATAGGAGGGGCAAAAATGGTATAATACAAACAACCACCTACTGAATTCGTAACGGAAAAGCCTATGATTGAAAATATGTAACAAAATTTTGAGTCTGCTTCATTTGTGATTTCGCATACTTCAACGAATTTTCTTTCTTGCATTCTTAAAGCAATCTTAATCGTTTCTGGATGACATCTACACTGAGATATAGCCATGCGGATATTTTGAAATCTAAATTTTATAAAGTATAGTACGAGAAATGCGACACCAATGGAATGTGACACGACCCCAAAACACCAAATCGTAAGCAAGTGATAGAAAAATGTGCAAATTACTAATCGATTTTCGGGAATGGGAGTAGANAAACGTTCTTGCAATGGACAGCTGACATTGTGCTCTGGAAGAAACAATTTGTATCACTCTTGCTACGGATATAATTCTGGAATTTTTTGCATACCTTTTTAATACGTATTTAATTGCGGCTCGCGAAAAATTTCAAATTTTGAAAAATGGCTCGGACTATCAAGAAGCTTGGCCACCCCTGTTTTATGCTTTATTAAGCTAGTATATGCTTTTTTTCAAAATATCAAGTAGTTCATTCGCAATACGAAAATAACAGATTTTTGAATCACAAATGCTATCAGATCCACCTTTAATCAACTTTTCAGTCACCAATTTTAAACACATCATATCGTTTAATTAAGAGGACAATACTGCTTTGTCGAAAGAGATTGATTGCTTTTTTTAAGAAGTTGTGTCCGTTTCGTTTCTTGAAGTAACCGTTCGTATTGTTCGTCACTGATTAAAAAACTGCGATCAGTACTTGTCTTCATTAACTCACTCAATTTATCATAAAATACGTTCTCATTACTCGCTATAATTATCGCACAAACGTTTACACTCAGATATGACAGTCAAGAATGAACACAACACAAAGTCTTCGGGTGATTGCAATGAGACCGTTGACAAGTTACAATCTGTCCGTCGTGTGGTGGTTGCATCAGCGAACGTTCAGAATGCGATATGACTTTTCTTAATCACCGTAACGCGTAGTGGTCAAATATAATGAAAGCCAAGACACGAATTTCTCTTTGTGGACTTTTTAATTTAGTCACAACGCGTTGTAGCTGTTTTTACAAGTGCCGAAACACAAATATCATGTAGTGGATGATTTAAATAGACCACAACGCGTTGTTAACGTTTTTGTTCACTGAATAAGCATTTTTGTTCTTTTAGCTTAACATATACATAACGGGGAATAAAAAACACAAAATAAGAGTGTTGGGATCGTGTGAAATTTGAGCCTTTGAGCTTTTGCCAATTTTATAAAAATCGGAAAAAAATCCGTGAATGTGTGTGTATTGAAATTTATTTCGTTTATTATTTCAAAACACTGTAATGATGAAAAATTGAAATTTGGCATGGTTGCTTCCATATAAAAGACAGCGATGCTGCTTTAATAGTGGAGGGGTGGGGTAGAGATGGATTTCACGAATATTTCGAGCATAGTCAGACTTAAACGAAGATTTTATCTCTTATTAGGATTTATAATGTTTTATAAAACTTATCTTTACCTTCAAAATTATTAAGCTTTTTTGCCATTTTTAATAATTAAATATAAATGGAGAATTTTTTATAAAATCTCATAATAAATTGCGCATATAAATTTAACATTTTATTCTGAGAAGTTTCAGAGAAGTCATGTAAGAGCCCAGACAGTTGTTACATTAATTTTAGCAACGTAAAAGAAAAATTCATAGATTATCACGCCAAACTTTCTGACAGTATGATCTTACAAAACACGCAGACCAGCACATCCACCAGACGGCCTGTCAGGATCCTTTTACGAAATGGTACTTGAGAATCGTGGCCACCCCTCGCTGTCAACTGAGGCATCTTTGTCTACCAAACCATTCGCAACAGTTGCACGAAGTCGAAGTCGAGCTGGTCGCACGACAACCGGCAACGGAAATGCCATTAACCACTAAACACAGGAATGCATGTCTGAAGTAAAGTCACAGTTAGACAATTGACTGGTATCAGGTGTTGGCTGTGGTTTGATTACTGGAGCAGGTCACACCCAACACTTTGTTTCAGCAAGACAATGATCGATCGCATATCGCACGACGAACTCTCTCCTGCCGAAACGGAATTCATATCCTTTCCTAGTCAGCAACCTCGCTGTACGTACCTGTTTCCTGTCGAAAACCTGTGGGACCTCGTCTAACCAGAGGTGAACTGGGGAGCACCGCCACATACTGTAGTCTACATGCTTGTTGCAGTAGACACAGCTTGGCAAGGGGTACTTCGGGAAACCATTAATTGCCTCATTGATAGTATGTCTCGCTGAGTAGCAGTGTCAGGTCTATATTGGTTACTGAGTAAACAGGTGTCCATGGAATATCTTTGTTTTTTAATCATTTGCATATTTCTGTTACCTTTCTGGTTCTGAAATGTGCATGTGGCTACGCGCACTCCTTCGTGATGTTGCTATTTAATTTTATAGTAGTGTATTTCAACCACTAAGCATTAATTGCAGGTTTGCAATTAATAAGTTACTCACCCGATATTTGCCATAAGTTATTATAAACTCGTTTTACATTAAAAGTCTTATTGCTGTTGAAGTTACTTTTGCACTTACATCGTGTTTATATTATGGCAAAAATTAAAATACCGGGATGATTAAATAATATTACATGATTGGAAATGATAGAGAAAGTGATAAGTTGTTGTTTGAGAAGTGGAAGGTGGCCCAAAAGTGGCCGAGTGTACTCCGTCTCCACTCATAGCGGCGGTGACCAAACCTAAACACTGGGAGTTTGGTAAAAATAAGAGTACATAAAAACGTTTCACAAGTATAATCTCATAGCTAAACGAGAAGTACATCTTAAACAATACTATTATTTCTTTAAATGACTGCACCTGTTTGATTTGGGTCTTCGCTTGCAATAAAAAATAAACGTGTTGTTGTAGTTATAAATTTAAACACTTCTGGTGAGAAAGATTTGCCACAACTTCACAAATCTTCAGCCGATTTTGTATTAAATTAAGCATATAAAAACTTGGAGAGAACTAACGGAATTTTAGCACGACTTTCCTGGTGACATTACCCATCAGTTTACTTAATACAGTATTGAAGTTGTCGACTAAATAGTTATTCTGCAGGTGTGATTAATCAGATCCAGGTTACAATGCCCGCTTTGTTTTATAATTAAGTAGGCCTATATAGAATCATTTCTAGAAATGGCAATTAAGTAATCATCTCTCCCGATATTACGGTATAAATATCAAGTTCTGGTTGTATTTTGGTCAAGTATTTGCTTTAATTTCGTTATATTCCCGTGTCCGATCTTGATTAACGCCAAATGTTTATATTTACATCTTTGTATTTCGTGCCGCCATCACGTCAGCATCACCATATCGAACCGTCCCTATTCTAACCCCTTTCCCCACACCGGTGTGACGTGGCTTTTTATTATACAGATTCTGAAATTATAAAACAAAATCCAAAATTGTTCATTAAATTTCCGCTATTTTGGTTTAACGCGTAACAAACGAATTGAACAATTGAAGTTGTCGTTGTTGCGTAGTTTTGCTCTTGTTAATAGAAAGAGTGCGATTTGGAAAGCGATTCGAAGATGTTTTTTGACGGTGGATATTATCGGCCCCTGCCCCATCCTCCGGGGTAAGAGACATTTTATCACTATTTATTCGGATAAGAAATTCGTTTTAGAAATTAAAGGCTTTAAAGAGAAACTTCCATCTTCAATATATAATTAGGCCTAATTAAATTAAATGTAAAGATTTTTGTGTCTTCCTGTATTGCTGTATTGCAATAGAGGGCTTTATAAGGCACAGTTTGGGGCCTGGTGTTAAGAAGATAATTTAGGGCTTTTTAATTTAGTGTTGTTTAAACGAGTAAACGGGCCTCTTTTATATCACGGATTAAGTGTAACTGCGATACCGAAGGGTCGTTAATATGACGAAATTTACTAAAATTTTAAACCGAACTTCGCTTAATAAATATATTTGATTTTTTTTGAAAATAACATAAAATATATTTACACTAGTCGATTTATAAAAGGCCTTCCCCTCTGTCTAATAAACTTAAAAGCACGAGAGTTTGAGAGTAGAATTAAATAGTTATTTTCTCTTTGCATATTTAGGGAGGGATTGGATGTGAATGTGAGAAGATTCGTCAGTCCACAGAATTTGGATTATGTTAAGTTTCGAGGCAGAAAGTTGAAGAAAGGCCTCTCGAAGCAGTACGAACCCTCGACCGATGCTTTCGAAGGTTTGGACGTTTTTGAAAATAACATCAAGCCAGCTTATAGACAAGCTGTGATAAAGGTTCGACCAATCTGTCAAACGGCCTGCCAACGTTTTAACAGGTAAATTACATTACTGTTTGTATGTAATAAACTTGTGTGTATTATATGTACGAGCTGTTTAACGAGGGCTTATTCTGAGAAATACGAGCAATCATCCTTTTAATTTTTTGATAAATAGTAATAAGTTTAACAGTTTCTTGCCCCGATCGGAAATTAAAGAAAATGTTTTCCAAGTGTTATCATTTATAAATATTCATCGTAATTCAATTGCTAAATTATATATTAATTGTATTTCTTTGCTTGTTTAGTGAGAGATTGGTCGAAGATGTGGAGGATGAAGGAGTAAGCGCGGTTCCTCCACGAAACACCAAAGCAGAGCACGAAGACTGCGTGCGAGGTAATCCTGGCCATTCCAGGGATAGAAATACATTGAAGAAAGTCGGGTCGTTCTTTAAGAGCGTGTGGAAACCCGTTAAGAGGTAAGATTTTGTACGATTTAGCCTCTGAAATTGGAAATAAATCGCTAAGCCCGAGTTTCGATTACGCCAAAAATGTTTATAGCATTAAGATTCGAGTTGGAAATGTTTGCGAATCGCATAACTTTCCCGTATTGTTCGGCGCTGTATCGGCCTATTCGTCCGTGTCATTATCTGATTGGATGAAAAATTGAATTGAAAACGTCACCGAACCAATGAATTAGTAGAACATTTCATAATCCAACTTTCGTTCTTTGTAGGCCAACATTTACAGCGCCGCAATACGTTTTAATGCAATTCAAATGGAGTTACACGTTTTCCATGAATAATTATACTTCTTTTTCTACATTTAGATCCGTGCAGAAGGTGTGTAAAATGGCCAGAAGTGGAGAATGCGAGTACGTTCGGTTCGAGTAAGGATCTCTTGGCTTCCATCTGTAGCAATCAATCGAGAATAAGATCTGCTCTGTGATTTGCTGGATCTGGGCCGAGTTGGCTAATTGTGTTTATGGTAACTTTATTGTATTCTACACCAAACACTTGGGCGATTTTACGGTCTGGGTTTATAAATTGAGAAAATATCTAACCGCGATTTCATAATAATCCGCAATTAATAGCCGGACAACAGAAAAAATGGAAATATTTATGTACGCTATTAGCGTGTTAATATATTATATTTTGACGCAATTACAGAAAAGCCACATTTTTGGGGTATTTGGCATACATAGTTTGTATATTCCTGTCCAAGTACTCACAATAATACATCCTGGGACACAGCGAAAGCAGTGGTATAAATAAACGTAGAAATTAAATTATCCGCGGACACGAACATGTTAAAATAATGAAATTGACAATGACATGACACGTGGCAGTATGCAATTAATTGTGGTAAGCAATATCATTTGGCACGTAACTATGGCACGTATTATTTCCATTTTAGAAGGAAATAATATTCTTTCATTTAAAAATATTGAAAAAATAACAAAAAGAAATGACAAAGTTTAAAAATTAATAAACAAAATCTAAAAATTGCAAAAATAATTTTCAATTTATAAGTAAAAATTAAAATATTGTTTTTTCATTCACTTTTAGATATGGTTTTTTCTGCAAACCATCGATGACTTCTCCTGATTTTGACATCCCGATTGCGTCAATGCAAATTCCTATTATGACTTCCCAATTGTGACTTTGTTCCGATTATGACTTGCCAATTGTGACTTTGTTCCGGCTGTGTCTCCTTATTAATGTCTTTTAGCCAATTACCATTTACCCGAATTGGTCTACACTCTCGATTTATGTCTACTTTACGAATCTGGACTCTCCCGAATTTGACTCCTCAATTGTGCCTGTATTCGAATTGGACTCTCCCGAATTACGTCTACCCCTAATTTGATTCACGAATGGTGTCTAAACTCGAATTTGGACTCACCCGAATAAGGTCTATCTCGAATTTGACTCTAGAATCCTGTCTATATTGGAATTTGGACTTTTCCGGCTTGTCTGTGCGCAAATTTGACTCCCGATTTTTGTCATCCCTGGAACTTGGACTCTCCGGAATCGTGTTCTAATTTGTTATTGGAACGACACGCTCAACAAATTGATATTTGTTATTCAGACACTAGTAAAAGGATTAATTNTACAATGACATAATAAAAGACATGAATTAATGATTAATACTATTTGTAGCGATTACAATAACACGTTTAAAATATTAGCTTACCTTTACTCGAATATCAGCAACCGCCACACCAACAACTACAAATGACACTGTAATTACCAATGCCACAAATCCAAAGACGACTTTATCTATAGGAGGGGCAAAAATGGTATAATACAAGCAACCAGCTACTGAATTCGTAACGCAAAAGCCTATGATTGAAAATATGTAACAAAATTTTGAGTCTGCTTCATTTGTTATTTCGCATATTTCAACGAATTTTCTTTCTTGCATTCTTAAAGCAATCCTAACTGTTTCTGGATGACGTCTACACTGAGATATAGCCATGCGGATATTTTGAAATCTAAATTTTATAAAGTATAGTACGAGAAATGTGACAGCAATGGAATGTAACACGACCCCAAAACACCAAATCGTAAGCAAGTGATAGAAAACTGTGCAAATTACTAATCGATTTTCGGGAATGGGAGTAGAAGGAGTTACCATAACAAACAAAAGTAATATTATTACGCATCCAGAAACAAATATAAATAATACGAATATTTGAACCCATTTTCTAACATTCAACAACTTTTCTACCTCGGCTTTATAATTGTTTTCGAATGTCTGAATTTTCGGATATTTTTGAAAATAATTTGTTACTAAACACATCAACACCGACAAAAATATTCCCAAGAGGAAACATTTATTTAAAATGATTGTAGTGTAACTATCTTTTATTTTATAAAGGAAACCCCCGCAACATTTGATAGATGTTTGCACGTCAACCACGGAAATAAAAATTCCCCAAAAATTAATCGCAACCCAAATTACAATATAGAATGTATAATACATCCTATTGTACATGCTGGTGCCATTTTCCACTTCCTTGCATGAAGGTAAAATGCCTATACCAAACCATTTTAATATACAGGTAAACGACTGTACGTAACAATTGATACAAAATGTAGGCTCTTTCATACTTTCTGATGAACTTCTTGTTACTGACTCAATCTGCAAAAATTTCAATGTATTTAAATTGAGATATTATTATTTTATAATGTTTTTAAATGTATTTTCTAAGGTAATACCTCGAGACTAAAAATCTCTTGTAGCTTTCAACATCACTTTTTGTCATTTTTATACAGGAAATCGTTACTTCGTCCTGACATTATTCATTTATCTTATTGAACTTCTCCAGAGAAATATCAGTGTTATACAAATTTAGTGTTATAGAAAACACTTTATCAACAACGTGACAAGTGATATCTATATAAAATAGTAGAAAAAATTAAAAGTATAATTTAATTATTCGCCGATATTAAAAGAAATATAGACCAAATAGAATAGATCAAATAAGAATAGTCAATTCGATATAAGTAAATATAGATTTTAACACGAGAGAGATCAAAATCATTTTTTAATAAGTACAGCCGCATTGCTAATCTATTCTTATGGAAAATTCAGTAATTCTGTCTTGATTCAAGTTTGCACATCTTGCATTGAACTGAATTTACAATCCTAAAGTGTCTTTTACTTTACTTGTGATATCAACACTAAATATTCAGGTCAGCATATTTCTTGCTGATTCTGCAGAACCGTATTCCAAAAACACTGAAACTTCAAGTAGCATTGTTTAGTCATACGAAGGTTATGACTGCATGTTACAAAAATATTAATTTGCCGGCGAGAAAACCTAAACAGGTTTGTTACTGCAGATGTTGGAGCAATTTGCTGCATCAATATCTATAGTATATCATCCTTTCAAACCGTAAGTCCTGATGCTTTTGTCCTCTGTTAGTGGAATTGCGAGGCTCAGTGAATAATGCAAACAAATTTGATGTATAGTACTTCTGACAAGTCATTTTCTGCTAATGATGTTTAACTACGTTACATAAATATAATTGCCCACGTCTTTAAATTAACGTTCTAGAGATAAATCACAAACATTTGACGCAGATATAAAATTATGATGAATTTAGTATGTACTGACTTTTATATAACGTTCAGTTCAGTTAATTTATCAATATTCTAAAAGGATTCACGTGTTTAAGTGCAATAGGTGTGTCAGAGTACTTAGTGAAATTACTTTAGGAAATGAGTTGTTTGAAAAATTGCTCACTCTTCTTTCCTTTAGTTTATTAATTTTTTCTTTAAATTTTATATATGTACTCTGTTAATTAAATAAATTAAAGATTTTCTTATCTATTTAAATTTAAGATATAATCGGGAAAAATTGAATAAGCGAAATGTGAGCTTATTATTATAACACAATCCCTATTTTGAGGTGGTGCGAGATCTCATTATAATGTCACCCCGTAGAAACTGAATTATCGATAGAGATTACAGATACATTTTTCACATTATCGTGCTTTATCAACACTCTACGCCGTACTTACGGGATTTGTAATGGAGGGTTAAGTTTGATTGTTCCTTGTATGATTTGATCCTGCTAGAGTATCACAATATTCGTGTTTATACTCGTTTTATATATAAATTATTGTTGAAAGTAATGTCTCAAAAATTACAATGGTGGACATAACAGAGACTTATCACACTGCTGCTGGTAACAATAAAATGACACTTCTATGATTAGAATGCAGCTTTATTACTGGTATGCATTTCGGTACAAAAGACCCGGTACATAAAAATATTTAGGTATCTGTTTCAGGTTTATTTTCATCACACTGTACAGTATTATGAGAATTACATCCACGAACAGGAAGTATGTAAAAACAACCGCTTGATAGTAACGGTCGTGTTTACAGTTCAACTTACTATATACTTAAATATTTTTATGTATGGTTGATGATGGTCTTTTGTACCAAAATGCAAATTGCATTCTGATAATAGAAGTTTCATTTTGATGTTACCAGTAGCAGTGTGATATATCTCTGTTATCGCTACCATTGTAATTTTTAAGATGATACTTTCAGTGATTTTAGAGGCCAGAAGCTTTTTTATGATATAAATTATTGTGTTTAAAATTTTAGTAATTAAACCAAACTTTTTTATACAATATTTATTGTGCAACTTCCGCACCGAGATAAAAACAGTTGTGTGTTTGTGAGTGTGTATTGTCAACTATTTCCTTTAATATCTTAGGATTGGGTACGGATTAATTAAAATACGAAAATTTGTTATGATAGTTCGTGTATAAGGGACAATGACACTAATAAATTTTGGCTTTTAAGGAAGTTAATACAGAATGGCCACGTGTCATATTTCGAGTTTAATTTAACTGAATGGAAATTTAACTTGTTGTTAGCGTTTGCAATTTCTCATAAAACTCATCTCTATGATGAAGACTACGCTTATTGCCATTTTTCAATTCATAATTAAAAATATAGAAAGTGTTTATAACGGTTTTTTCATAACAGATAGCACCACATAAAATTCTATTTATTGTTATTAATTAATAATATAAAAGTTATTTTTTAAATAAACTCTCATAGCTGCTAGAAAAAGTTACACAACTCGTTCCAGTTTTTTTAATTACAAGAATATAAATGAATATTTGTTTCTACACATCTAAATTTTATTTCTTTAAAACATTTAATCAATCCAAATAATTAATAACCTTTAAATTAATTTCAAAAAAAGTAAATTTTTGCATTAACAAAACATACAATCACAAATTTGTCTATTGGTGATTTTACTTTTCACTTACATAAAACATATATTTTATTTATTTATTTAAAATAATATAGCACGTTTTAGGATATTAATTTTTCTTACTTTTATGACTTTAATTCCAATGAAATTAGTAGAACTTCAACAATGCAGGAAGCAAGCAAAGTTGTTCTACTTTTGACACGCAATTTCCTGGGATGGATGTTTATATTTGTTATGTAGATATAATTACTTATGTCCTTGAATTATAATTGTTAGGATAGCACATAAACCATTTTCATACATTATTTATAGTGTTTGGTCGGTCTTATAATGTTTGCAAAAATTAATTAATCATTTTATGAAAATCTTAATTGGAAAGGTTTTCTTAATTTATGTGCATTTACATTGCTAAATGAAAATACTTCAGAAAGTAAATTTGCAGGAAATAAATTAATTTTTCATTTTTTATTCGCTGATTTAGTGTCCTATAAATTGCTACTTGTCTTGCTTCAATTATTCAAAATAATAATAATAGTAATCGTAATTTGTAAATGCTATTTCAAAAACAATCCAAATTAAGATAGATTTGAAAAAAGTCAGTCAAACATCGTCAATTATACTTGCGCTATCTGTGCTTTTTGTCAAAATGAAAAAAAAGAAGTCTGTTTTATCTATACTAATATTATGAAGATGTAATGTTTGTAAGTATGTATGTATGTAAGTTGGTTTGCAGCAGGTAATCTCCGAAACTATTCATCCGATTTCAAAAATTCTTTCACAAATATTTAGAACGGAACTTCAGGGTGGACATAGGCTGTATATTATTCCGTTAAATATTCATATAAAT